CCCACTTGGGGCAGCAAAATGAGTTGAGACAGCCCTGCCTCATAGCTAAGCAGAAGGAAATAAACATGGCTTGCCTACCTCTATTTTCCCCTTCCCTCTGCCGCCCCACCAGCCACAGCCAGGTCACTCACCTGGAGCTTCCTTCTAGAACTCGTTGTATTGCTCCTAGTTAATATATATTGTGAAGTATTTATATTTATGAATATTAAGTACACAAACACAGAAATGCCTGAATATTCTGTAGGAACAGCATGCCAGTAAACTGACTGGTCAAATATTCCACAAACACCAGAATTTATTTTATTTGTTTGATTTGTATACCGCCCTCCCACAGACGGGCTCAGGGTGGTTCACAACAGTTTCAATACAATACCATTAAAACCATAATTAAAGTAACAATTAAAACAGTAAAACCTTAATATACCGTGCAACGACTAATTCTGATCAGCAGAATATTAAGATTCAGCCACTGATGTCAATTCAGCAGTACCAATGTTAAGATTCAGGCTGCTGAGGAGGAAGGAGACAGGAAAGGAAAGGAAAGGAAAGGATGCTCCTAGTTAATATATATTGTGAAGTATTTATATTTATGAATATTAAGTACACAAACACAGAAATGCCTGAATATTCTGTAGGAACAGCATGCCAGTAAACTGACTGGTCAAATATTCCACAAACACCAGAATTTATTTTATTTGTTTGATTTGTATACCGCCCTCCCACAGACGGGCTCAGGGTGGTTCACAACAGTTTCAATACAATACCATTAAAACCATAATTAAAGTAACAATTAAAACAGTAAAACCTTAATATACCGTGCAACGACTAATTCTGATCAGCAGAATATTAAGATTCAGCCACTGATGTCAATTCAGCAGTACCAATGTTAAGATTCAAAAGGAAAGGAAAGGAAAGGAAAGGAAAGGAAAGGAAAGGAAAGGAAAGGAAAGGAAAGGAAAGGAAAGGAAAGGAAAGGCCTGGCAGAAGAGCTCCGTCTTGCAGGTCCAGTGGAACTGCAATAGATCCCACAGGGCCTGATCTCATATGGGAGCTCATTCTACCAGGTAGGGGCCAGGGCCGAAAAAGCCCTGGCGCTGGTTGAGGCTAGTCGGACATCCCTGGGGCCGGGGACTACTAGAAGATGTTGATTCATAGACCTCAGTGTCCTCCAGGGCTCATATGGGGAGAGACGGTCTCAAAGGTATGCTGGCCCCTGGCCATACAGGGCTTTGAAGGTAAGCACCAGCACCTTGAAACGGATCCGGAATTCAATAGGCAGCCAGTGCAGTTCATGCAGCACTAGGTGGATGCAAGCCCGCACAGGCTTCATCATCAACACCCATGCTGCCGCGTTCTGCACTAGCTGCAACTTCCGGAGCAGGAACAATAGTCCACCCTGGAAGTGACCATTGCATGGGTCACTGTAGCTAGGTCTCGTGGGGTAACATAAGGGGTCAACTGCCTGATCTGTCTCAGATGAAAAAGGCTGACCTGGCAGTGGCGGTGACCTGGGTCTCCATAGAGAGGGAGGCATCCAGGAACACTCCTAGGCTCTTTATCCTTGACACTGGCACCAATGGAGCCCCATCGAAGGTTGGGAGCCTGATTCCATGACTCAATCCCTAATGGCCCAGGTACAGGTCCTCCATCTTAGATGGATTAAGCTTCAGTCGGCTCTGTTGCAACCATCCAGTCACAGCGTGTAATGTCACTATATAGGCCGCAGCTTATCTTTTTCATTTTAATAGGTTTTTATTTTACTTCTCAGCCACAAGGCAGCTAACAGAAATAACAAATTAGATGAAGCATCCTACATATAAAGCTTAATCTCAACACATACACCAGAAATGACATTGACAATTTGGCCAACAGCCCAGCATAATAAAGCTAAACATTTATTATGGTGTCATATATTAGCAAGGCAGCAGGGATGGCACCTTGCCCCCACCCCCCAACCCTACAGAAATCAGAGGCAAACCTAAAAGCACACTAAACTTAACTTACTGCTGGACCACTTCCTACAACTGCAAGCAGCCCCCAAAAAGAAACGTGAACACAAATAGTTAATCAATGGCAAAGGCCATCTAGGACTGCCCATGACTCCATCTAGGTTGTCGCAAAGACCTTCATGTGATCTGGCTGTCTATTCTGCAAGGCACACAGTTATTCTTAATTCTAGCACAATTTGCCTGCTATCTCAGCAGCACCAATGTTATTTTAAAACGTTTAAAAAACAGAATAGTTGGTGCTACTTTGCTTTGTTTTATTTCTTCAAGTATTTTGCAACTGGATTTTCCCCTGGAACACCTAGATCAGCAGACAAAGGGAACAGTCCAGTGAATTTGTTCATGGCTACAAATGTCACAGCAGAGGTCCCCAACTTGGTACCCATGGTTGCCATGGCACCCAACACTTTTCCTTGTGCCCACCAAGTGTTCCTAGGCCAGATGGGGCTCTTGGCCAGCAAGGCTTCTGGTAGGCTGCACAGATTTTAAATGTTGCTTTGTCAGCAGCTGCCACAATAGTACGAGGATCTTCACTGTGTGACTTAAGATCAGCTGTGTGTATGCAAGGAAATATTTTAATACAATACACTCATTTTAAAAGGCATTCCATTAAACAGAGCTTCTGCCTTAAATGTTGAAGAGTTACTGTCAACCTTAATCCCTGACATTTTGTGGTTGGCTTCCACCTCCCATGCCAGCCATTTTATAGCTGTGCCCACCACCACCCCGTGTCAGAATTCCAAAGTGCCTGCTGGCTCAAAAAGGTTGGGAATCCCTGTGTTAGAGGATGTTAGAAGCTAAATGTCATTACAGTATCACAATAACCATTAACACATTTATTTTAATTAGCGCAAGTATCAAACTGGCTGGCATATCACAGTAACCTTTTTATTGTCTAAAAGCTTAAAACGTTAAATTAACCTAGAAATTCCTTGAATTAGTATGCACAGTAATGTATGATTAGAATACCATAAAGGGATGGTGTAGAGAAATAAAATTACTTTTAATAATATTATGAAATGTATTTGGAAATATGGGGGGGGAGAAGTATATGGAAAATGAAAATAAACAAGGGGAAAGAAAAAATAATATGTCAGAACAAATGAAAACCGGCAAAATTCAATGGATTGGGATACAGTATTTCATACTAAGATTCAAGTACCTGCATTCCTAGTTGTGAGATACATCATCTTTTTCTTCTTTTTACTGCTTAATGTTCCACAAAATGGACCTGAAGACAGACGTAGCAATTTAGACATTCCAAATTCTTACAGAGAAGTCTTAAATAGCTATACTGTTATTCTGAATAAAGTCTTTATCCATATAGCAATTGCCCAATAACTGTAGCACTTGTTTTAAAAGTATTTTAATTGCACATTTAAGAATCTCATTACTAAAATCTGTGATATTTACACAGATATAACTGGAACCAAAAAAAGGCTGTGTGTGTTAAGTACTCTCAAGTCACTTCTGACTTATGGCAACCCTGTGAATTTAATGGATCTCCAAAATGTCTTATCATTAACAGCCTTTCTTCCAGGCTTGCAAACTGAGAGCTGTGGCTTCCTTGATTGAATCAATCCACCTCATGTTGGGTCTTCCTCTTTTCCCGCTGCCTTCAACTTTTCCTAGCATTATTGTCCTTTCCAGGAAATCTTGTATTTTCATTTTGTGACCAAAGTATGATAGCCTCAGTTTGGTCATTGTAGCTGCTAGGGAGAGTTCAGACTATAACTGATAACTGGCACAGGAAAACAGGCTAGCTGTATTTATTTACTACACTTACAGCCTGCCCTTCTACAAAAAAATTCAGGGCAGTATGGAAATTAAAAGCAATAAGCACAAAATAAACATTAATCAAACTATGACTGGTACACAAAAGCAACAGGACAGCCATCAACTCATCAACTTCTTTTTCTGTTTAATATTACTTATTTGCCAGCAGGTGGCAGAAAGGATTCAAATTTGTAAGGGAGTTTTAATTCTTGGTTGTAGTTCCCAGCCACACTGAAATTGCTCATGCACCATGTTAAGCAATATCCCCTGGGTTTGGCAACTGCAAAAGTGATGTAAAGAATCATGAGATTGTGCACCTTACCTGAATTGTCCCAGTCCCGTCTAACAAACGCTTTCCTTTTTTCCTCCAGGAACTGACTAGGAATCAGTCCTGCACTTCCTCCTTCTTTGACATGGCTAGCCTAGAATGACATCAAGCATACATTCATTTTGGCACCAAACCATAATCAAACATAGCCAAGGCCTTAATTAACATAATCCAATCTGATTACATCAGCATGTTTAAAATGTAAACCGCACGCACACACACACAAACACACATACACACAGAAAGCTCCTCCTGCTGCATCCCACTGACCCACCCTAACTCTACTCCTAGGGGTCCAAGTACCCACATAAACAGAAAGGGGGGACAAACTGAGGATCTGCAGTGCAAAGGAAGAATGGGCAAGAGTTCCTCCCTTCAATCAGTGGAAGTACCATCCCAATAATAGAAGTGCTGTTCCTCCAGTGGAAACTGCACCTTGGAACCCAACTCAATGCTCATGTTTCAAATGTTTTAATTCTCTTCAAATGTTTTAATTCTGGTTCATGTTTGCACACACTGAGGAAATACAGCTACGGCCAAGAACAGAATATTGGTTCAGAGGTATCAGAGTGCTGGTTCCTTATGATATACAGGCATCTCTTTCATTCTTTATTTGGAGCCTCAGCCTGTAGTAAATTATTTAAAGTCTGCCTGGCCCCAAAAAAGAAAAAATACTTTTTATGTGTGTGCATCACAGTTTTCTCCACCGAGGAAGGCCATTAGGGGCGAAACACATCTAGCTTAGTGGTTATATATCTTTATGTGAAACCATTGCTGACATCTTTGGTTGAGCAGTGGAACAGTCTGCCTCGGGAGGTGGTGGATGCTCCTTTGCTGGACGTTTTCAAGCAGAGGCTAGACGACCATCTTTCAGGTATGTTGTAGGTATGTAGGGCTATCTTTCAGCTATGCTCGTGCAGGGGGTTGGACTAGATGACTCGCAAGGTCCCTTCCAACTCTAACATTCTATGATTCTATCTTGTTACTACTGTATGTGCAACTTCAATTGGTTGCTGTATATGACATTTTTATTCTCTATGTATGTGTGTTGTTTTTAACTTTGACCTCATGTACTGTGCAATAAATATTTATATTATTTTTTATGTTCTTGCTACTCAACCTCTTGTATATTTAATAAGAATCAGAAGTGAACCTAAAGGGCGGCATGAAAAGGTGTCCCAACACAAACCCAAGCTGTGCGGTAGGATTGCCGCAGGAACAAAGTTCCGCTAGAAACGCTCAACATTTTTCCTATTTCCCTCCAACACTTTTTTTTGCGCAACCTGAAGAGTTCTGCTGAATGCAAAAGCTTGCTTCATACTTCACAAGGCTTCCGTTATTGCAGTGGCTAGACAGATTAGGATTTGGCAGGCCTAGGTTCAAATCCCCACTCGGCCATGGAAGCTTGCTGGGTGACCTTGGGCCAGTAACACACTCTCAGCTTAACTGAACTTGCAGGGTGTTGTGAAGATTAAAAAGAGGAGAGGAGAATGATGTAGGCCACTTTAGGTTCCCACTGAGTAGAAACACAGCATATAAATAAAATTAATGAAATAAATAAATAAGGTATTAAGTCTACTATTGCTTTAGGTGTGGTCATGTAATTCAGAAAGAAAGGGCTCTTTTTATTTATTCCAATATCCATTAAGTCTGCCAATCTTGGCATGCTCAGTTTAAGACATGCATGATTTGCTAGATTTTCTCTATTAGTTCCATTGTGTTTTCTGATCCAATTCAATGTTAGCTAACCTAGGAATAGTGGCAATCAGTTTTGGACAAGTGGCAAAGTGTATTTTGAAGTTTCAAAAATACTTCTCTCCCCTGTTCAGTGTCTTTTTCTGGTTTTGGTGTGAAGGCACATACAGCTTTGTGACAGTTTGGAACCAATGGACTAATGGTTTGATTCTGCATGACAACTCTCATTTTATGTAACAGTTCTGAACCTCAGGAACAGAGCTGTCTACAACTGAAGTATGAAAGTAATCCCTTATGGCACCCAAACATAACCAAATCAGGAACTTCATACAGTGTAACAACATACAATAAAAGGCTTAAAAACTATGTCAGGGCATTACAGCTTCTGAAAATTTCCAAGGAACACTGAATTAGTACCAAAAAGCAAAACAAAACAAGATTCTAGAGAAGTAGCTTTTCTTGCCCTAACCTGCCACCAATTTGGATCTTCTCGATTTACAATCTGAAGAATTTCTCCCTTGGAAAACTTTAGTCCTGCTTCTTTGCATGGAATCAAGTTGTCATTATATGGATTATAATCAAAATGACACTTCACAAATACCTGAAACAGATGATAAAACGTAATACTGTTAAGAAATTATAATTCTAACCATTTAAAAAATGTATAGCAAGTTAGCAGAACACTGGGTCACAGTTTAAACTTCTGAATTAACTGAAACATTGGAGTATCAAGGGCAATTTTTTAAACCCAATTAAGACTCCAAGGAGGTGAAAGCAAGAGAGACAGCCAGGTATGAATGACTGGCATCAGGTTTAGCATTGATACAGGAGTACTGCCATAGAGTTCATGGAAGTATCTTAAAGTGTGTGTTTTTTTATTCAGAAAGGTGCCACTGCTCAGGCTTGTGTGGGATCTCATACCTTCTGGTGCCTCAAACAAAACTCTTAGTTGTAACTGTGGAGAGAAAGACTTCAGCTGCTCAGCAGTAATGGGACAGGCACTCTCAACATGCTCAGAAATCCTTTCTTTATATAATTTAGCTGAAGTCTGATGAGTGGGGAAGTGTCTTATGTTTATCTGCACACCCCATTTCTCACTCAGAGAGGTGATCCTGCACCTTTTGCTCCAGCTAATACAGCAGTTTCAGAGACCACTAAAATGGGGGGAAAGGGTGCAAAGCATTGTTACAGAACTTCATTGAATTTATTTTAAAATGCTTAGGGGTTAGGTTTATTTTGCTGTCTTCTATCCAGTTTTTCTGCACACTTACAGGTTGTTGTATTTTATACTGCACTGCATTATTTCTAACTGGAGGCTGCCTAGACTTTTTATGGTAGGCGGCATCAACATCTGAAGAATTCTGAACACTTCAAAGGGGGAGAGTTAATCCCAGACTCACAAAAACCAGGAATATAGGGAGGAAAAAACACACACAGCAAGACAACACATTACTCCAACCATCAAAAACTGCAGTTAATAGTGGACAAATAAAACAAATAAGAAATCACTAAATTTACTACACCTGCACCATGAAATAGAACTGGCAGAAAATAATGCAGGAAGTTAACGTAAAGCCCTCTTGTGAATAATAATGTGCAAGAATTGTCCACGTTGGCTTTCTGCTTTGTGTTGAGACACTGAGAAGCAGAGGACAGTTGCTGTTTCCTGGCATGTACAGTGAATGATCCTGGTGTGCAATCATGGCAACTTACAATTGACACAGAGAATTCATATTAATCCTACAATGACTACCTTCTGTGAAAGGATTTTATAACCCATCATGTGACTGTTACTGAGTCACTGACGGTACACAACTGGTTGCTATATATTGGAAATAGTTAATATACTTAATTAGAAGGGAAGGGGAAGGGAAACAATAAGGTGAGTAACATAACAGATGGTCCAGACTAATCAAAGAGAATATTCAGTTTCACTGAAATATGAACATTTTGTTTCTATAAATAGCTACAAATGAAGAATAGCACTACTGACCTGTTGGGGAATAATATTATCTCTGTAGCTAGGAAGAATCTTCAAAGTGACACTACCGCTTATATTCTTGAGAAGTTCTTGCAACTCTTTTGGATTGTTCCCAACCTCATGACCGTTAACCTCTTTAATGATATCACCCACATGTAGAAGACCTTGCCGATCTATCATTCCTCCATGAAGGATTCGTGCAATTACCAGATCATTATTCTCAACCCTAAACGTAACACCCTACAGAACATGTGAAGGGCACCATTGTTAGTTTATAGTTTATCTCCATTAAAAATATACTAAACCGTACAATACTGCCATTAATTATTTTAATTATCAGCATACACTATAATAGCTATTGAAGTCTGCATATTCCTAACAAATCCAAAATCAAGTAAGTACTTCAAGCTGATTAATACAGGCTTTTTTTGTATCCTCTGGCCAAACAATAAAATAAAGTGTAGGAAGAGCTTAATTATCACTACTGTCTCTCAAACGAGATCTGAAAAGCTTAACGCACAGAAACTGTAGTTACCTAACACCTTTGGGGTACCTTAACTATTTCCGGCATATAACTTACTTCATAAAAGTTCTGTTCCTTCCCCTCTTTACCACCCTGACTTTCGTTTCTCTGAATACCTCTGGACTGTTCAGGCACTGATTTCAGGTGGAGTCTTAGCCACAGGGCAACCAGAGCAGCTGCCCGGGGCCCTGCACTGGCAAGGGCTCCATGATCGAGTGCACCCAACTGCACCAGAATGCCAAGCTGCCACACCACTGCTGACCTGTCTTACAGATGCTATAGGCAGCAATGGCTTCAGGACAGCAGTCAGCTGCAGGGGGCTGACTGGGGGGAGGCAGTGGCAGTTTTTCTGGGGCCACATCCTGAAGTTCTTCTCAGGGCCCTAGAATCACTAAGACTGCCCCTGACTAACTAGTGAGCATCTCAAGGTTTTCCTTTTCCATTTATTCTCTGCTGTTAGTTTGTTGTTTCCACCAAGAACGGGTTTCATATAACTTTGATTATAGAAGGGCAACAAAGCAATATACCTAAGTCAGTGAAATATTACTTCCTCTATACTTATATCACTACATACTTACCAATGGCTCTCCTGCTCTTTTGTGAATGCCAAGTATACGAATAGCATCCACAGGTACTATCTGATTGTTCACCGAAGAATTATTAATTTCTGGGCTTGAGGGAGGAGATTCATAGCACTTTGATGCCACAATGTCATGTGCTTCCAAAAGGGACTGCGAATACAGAATGGGCGAATTGACAAGTTATAGATGACACAATAATTAGAAAATGGGAGAGGGTACTTCTGAGCTCCCCCCAGCAACCCAAAGTGCTTCTCAAATGATTTATAAGGGAAGGCTTCTTCTCAAATCATGAGCAACAAGTAGAGATCACAGCATTTCAAATGGTTGGGTTTTTTATTTGGATTTATCTCTAGTTAAAAGGAAAAACACTACTATTAAGGTTAATTTCTCAATTTAAAAAAGTATAGGCCCCCCAAATTCAGAGAAAGCCCTGCTTAAATCCCACTGAAGTCTATGGGAATTAAAGTTAACTTTACCTGGATCAGGGCCACAGTGTTTTTTCTTTCATTAGACTAAAACTGATTCTGATCCACTGCAACAAGCAATTCCCCCCTCGAGAATACTGTTAGATTAAAAAGTAATGCATTACCAGAAAGTGTGGTTCTTTCAGTATACCAACCAACTCAGCAATGTTTTCATCTTTGTTTACCAATGGACTGATGTCTTCAAGAATCTCATTGACTAACTCTAGATTGTTGTCACTCACAGCCTCAAGTTTAGAATCTTCCAGTCGCTCATGAGCCTGTGATGATTATAGAACAAGTATAAACTGATAGGAACAGTAAACAGGACCAGTATCTTTGATTTGCCATCCACATCATGAGGCTTCCTCCGTGTTTTGACAACAACGCTTAGTCTCCATCTGCATTGTTCCTGTTGTAAGTTCACTGGTCAAAGAGTCTCATTCTAGGGTTTGCATACAGCACACGGATGTAGCTGTTCTCAGAATTCATGGCCCTGCATGCTTTATTAAAGCCACTTAATGAACTTTTTGTTATTCACATACTTATACACTTTTTTCTTTAGGAGGGACTTTAAACAGCTTATTATTTCCCCCACCTCCATTTTATCCTCACAACCACCACTCTGAGTAGTAGAAAAGCAAAATTCAAGCCTGGTAACCATTTAAAGACCAACAAGATTTCCAGAGTATCTTATGAAAAGAGCTTTAATTCTTGAACATATACCCTGGAAATCTTGTTGGGTCTTTAAGGGGTTTACTGGACTTGACTATTGTTCTTCTTCTGCAGACCAACATGACTACCCACCTGAAACTATGTATGCTAGGTTAGGCTGAGAGTGTGCAATTGGCTCAAGGTCATCCAGGGAGTTCAAATCTGGGTCTCCCAGATTATAGCCTGACACTCTAACCATTGTGAAACACTGCCTGCTTCACAACCTTCTGTACAGTCACTCTGTTCTCTAATTCTAGCAATTCAGGTAAGCTATTACAGCTTGTATACATTTCTGTGGGAGGAATAAAGTATACTGACATGGTAGAAACTGGTTTAACAGTCAGTTCCTCACTTCAGGCAATCGTAACTGCAATCAAGGATACTGACCTCTGACAAAACCCTTAAAAACACCTGTCAAACAACAATTGCTAGAATACTTCAGGGAAAAGCCATGCCAGTTTAACTGGTATAAGACCAATTCTTTCAAAGACAAAAAATGCACCGATAAAGTAGTCCCTTATTCCATCTTTCAAGTCCAATTAGAGGAGTCAGGAACTAAACCTTTTCCTTCCATCCATGCCTTCATTTACTCTGTTTCTTTCATAAAGCATAGTCAGATCATTACTTTATAATTAGTTTGTTTGCACAATATGTATACATTTCCTTTTCCAAGCTTACAGACAAGCTTCAGGAAAAAGATAATGAATGTGCTTTATGAGATGAAGCCTATCCTACTATAAACAAAGTCATTTGCCCCATCCCATATCAATACAAGACAAGCTTTAAAGCTGTTAGTGAATTCCAGGTTACCTAAGATTGGGGGGGGGCGCATTTGGGTCACCACACGGACCAGATAAAGCACTGGGGAAATGGATCTTAATAGGCTTAGGCCTCTTGGAAGGCTTCCAGTCTCTTTCGCATGGCAGATGACATTGCTGGGGTGCAAAGAACCTTTAGATCTCTATTTCTACAGACTTGAATCTTGCTTTCCCCATCTACCACCTTCTAGAGTAGGGTGCCTCCAACCAAGCTGACTCTGCAGACACTTTTGGAATTTTGAGAAGAGGTAGTGAGCAGCACCATGAAATAGCTGCCATGGGTTGGCAGGATCATCTCTTTGGTTTGGAAGAGAGATGTCTTTTAGTTTCAGTTTCAAAGAAAGTACAACCACAAGGAGAGCCAGCTATGTCCAAAGATACAAGAAGTCTGTGTCTAAGGCCAAGCCAAAGGCTCATATGCTTACAAAGAACTGTATACCACCCCCTATCACTCCATTCTCCCCCCCCAAGCTGCTTCTCCCTCCTAGATTAGTTAGTGGTCACCAGAAAACATGTTGGCAAGTGCTGTAACCCCTATGGGTACCATGTCAGGGATCACTGCTCTTAGACCCACAAGAGGCTGGGGAGAGCACAACCTCATTGGGAGGTATGCAGGAGACACATACCGCACTGCATACCTAATTAAGTTATCCAACATGCAAAGCATTAAGAAGGTCTTGGCACAACAGCCATCAATGAGCTAACAGCATCTTCCCAAGCCTTGTTTCACATTATGTATCACAGTTAGTGAATGTGCGTGTCAAGCAATGCTCCCTCTAAGCCATGGAGTCTTTTGAGCAAAAAATCTGCTTTGTGAGCTACTGGCATTAACGTTGTGAGCGATTTGGCTACTGCATAAATTAGTTTGCTCTGGAGCCATCCTTCCTTAGCTAAGACAAAAATCTGTAAGCTGGAGGCTAAAAAATTGTAAGCTAGCTCAGACTAACTCATCTTAGAGGGAACACTGGTGTCAAGTCACTTGCAACTTATCACAACCCTATGAATTAATGACCTCCAAAATGTCCTACCGTTAACAGCTTTGCTCAGGTCTTGCAAACTGAAGGCCTTGGCTTCCTTTATTGAGTCAAGCCATCTCATGTTGGGTTTTCCTCTTATCCTACTGCCTTCAACCTTTCCTAAAAGTATTGTCTTTTCTAGTGAGCCTTGTCTTCTCATGATACAACCAAAGTACAATAATGTAAACGGAATCATCTTAGCTTCTTTGGAGAGTTCAGGCTTGATTTGATCTAAAAACCACTATTCTGTCCTTTTGGTGGTCCAAAGTATCTGTAAAAAAAAAAAACCCTCCTACAGCACCTAATTTCAAATGACAGTGGCTATTAACTGAAAATGTTAGTGTACCTTAGCAAGTGACCTTACAATAGGATTCTCCATAATTCCTTTCAAGAAAATAAGGTCTATTTCTTCAGCTCCTGTTGATGGAGACAAATCCGTAAGGTTATCCAAAACTTGCTGCATTGCTGCTGAAAAAGCATAAAGAAAAGCCTCTAAGCAAATGTTTAGCGGTTTTTAGTAAGTTTTAATTTATCCAATAATCAGATTCACAATTTCTTTAAAATGCCAGACCATACAACTAGTTAAAGGATCATGCTGCCACAACGTCATTCAATTTAAACATCTGTTTTACCACAAGCATTTCAACAACAGTTCTTCAGGCACACACAGAAGTGTATTATGAAATCGGTTATACGCCTCACGAATGCTAATCACACAGTTCAAGCATAATTGTCTTACATATGTTTATTTCAGTGCTATTATGAAGTGTTTTGAATGTAAAGATGTAAATGAACAGGCCAAAAACTTTGTATGCTAACCAATGTTCCCTCTAAGCTGTGGAGTCCTGTGAGCAGAAATTCTACTTTGTGAGCTACTGGCATTAAAGTTGTGAGCAGGTAGTTTGGCTGCTGCATAAAATTAGTTTGCTCTGGAGCCCTCCTTCCTGAGCTAAGACAAAAATGTGTGAGCTGGAGGCTAAAAAACTGTGAGCTAGCTCACACTAACTCAGCTTAGAGGGAACACTGATGCTAACCTAAACTCCCGGGAAGATGAGACAGACCAAAAAAGTGATAGAAAGGAAGAAATGGAAGGTATCTTCACACAGTTCCAATTCCCATTAATGTCTAAAAGTATTTTAACACACACACACACACTAAATTGTAACTATAACCAAAGGGATGAAGGGAGCTTTGATTCTCGAACACTTATAACCAATGTTCCCTCTAAGCTGTGGAGTCTTGTGAGCATAAATCCTACTTTGTGAGCTGCTGGCATTAAAGTTGTGAGTGAGCAATTTGGCCACTGCATTAGTTAGTTTGCTCTGGAGCCCTCCTTCCTGAGCGAAGACAAAAATGTGTGAGCTGGAGGCTAAAAAACTGTGAGCTAGCTCACACTAACTCAGCTTAGAGGGAACACTGCTTATAACCCGAAAGGTCTCGAAGGTGGCTACTGGACTTTAATCTAGCTCTCTACTGCAGACAGACATGGCTAACTTCCTGAAACAAACAGACTTCCCAAAAATATAATGGGGGTTAGAAGAACACAAGACTAACAAGTGAAGGCTTTCTGAGGGCTTCAGTTCACAGTGATCGGGACAGCAAAGTTTTAATTGTCCCTATCAACGGCTCAAGCAGGTAAAGCAAGAAGTCTTTGACCAAGGAAAGCAAACTTCTTTTGTGAAAACTAGAAGGTCCTGCACTGGTGCCTTATAGAAGGGAAACAGGGAATTTCAGAGTCACAACAAGCAACCTGCATTACATCTGCTATGTTTTCCATAGCTTCCATTATATAAGATTTTAATAGACACCTACATTTATAATAACCTTCCCCAATTTTCTGGCTACTCTTACTAAATTTTAAAAACATTAAATGTTTAAGAGCTTCTCCCTAGTAAAAATGTGTGGCAGTCAATATGTTTTTGCATGATTTTTAATTTTTTTCAAAATTGGTATAACCCTCTTTTACAATAAATGTATCACCCTGTACTTCTAGCAAACAAGTTCTCCTTGAAAGCATGTGTAGGAGGCAAATGACAGTCACATTATGCTTTCAGAGACTGACAGAAATATTTCTTTCATTACTTAATAGGCAAATGGTGATTGCAAACTGCACTATGGTTTCTAGAACATAATGCACTTAAGTCAGAGCTAGTGATGGGGAGACTAAAGGAACAATGGAGATGAACTGAACATATACCGTAAGTTAACCAAACAGATAAATATCTCAAAAGGACAGACATAATGCACAACCCAGGTACCAAGTTGCTCAGGAATCTTAAATATGTTTCCAGCTCTGCCCAGGAGATGAAAAAAATCAATACAATCAATCTTAGCTGCCACCATATTTAAGTCCTGTAGTCTAAAATTTACTCAACACAAATGTCAGATGCCTTTATATTTGTGTATGAGACACCCCATGATTTCCCAAGAATTTTCAACAGAGTTCCCCTCCAAAAAACAACAACACATATACACAGCACCTAAAGTTTACTACTTTTGAAAACAAATGCTGCAAGATTGGATCAAATCTCTTTTGTGGTCAGAAGACCTATGCCTGATTTGTGATAGATGGCCATTTTAGTCACACAAATTTATTCACTCCATCATTCTGTGGATAATACTACAAGAACAAAATCTAGAAGTTACCACACCACAGGATTATATATATTGCATATACACAACATACTGCACAAACACAACAAAAATAGATTTAGAGAGCTATATGCTCCCAAAGTATAAAGATAATCCAGGTTCGGAGGGAAGGATACACAGCCACTTATCAGCTCTTCCTCTGCCATGAACCACCTAAACAGAACTGCTCAAAAACATTAACAGAAAAAAAAGTGGCCTGCAGCCTCTCCTATACCATTTCTACTGTAATTGTGGATTAGCACTACTCAACCCAGCTTCCACAACAGGTGGCTCATACCAGCATCCAGGTTTCATCCTTTCCTTTCTAAAGCACTCTGCAGGGAGCGGTACTTTGAAACACTTTCCTGTCCTAGGAATGCTTTCCTGTTAATCACACCCCTCTTTCCTTGGGAACAGGAAGGGGGGAGAGAAAATATCCAGGGACGTATTTTAACAGCATTACTTAAGAGGACACCTCTAAATGGAGTAAAGCACTTCTGTACTCTTAAGATACAAAACCATATATGTTCTGACACTTGACAGCTCTACCCATGGAGCTGTTATATAAAAATACAACTTCTTACTAAATGTGTGGGAGAGTACAGAAGCTGCCACTGGGAACACAGTGATAGACAAATGCATTTAATATGCAAACAGATTTCACTTGTGTGAGCGTGGGAAGAAAAGTGGCAACATTTAATTCACTTTTATCAAGAGGCCACAGCAAAATATAAGAAAAAGACTCACTGCTATTGATCTTCCCATTGGTATAGCAAAATAAAAATTGAGGCATTGAAGCCATGGTACATGGGGGGGGGGGAGTCAAAGAAATGTGTTTTTCGGAGTCTTTCAGGAGATAATTCAGAGATCAGGAGATCATTCAGAGAGTTTTTGTTGGTATAATTTTCATGCAGTGAGTGTTAATTTTTATCATTGCAATTCCATGTTAGACATCAGCGTCCATTCAGAAATGTATGAAATCTAAAATGGCTCTTATTGAAAGCCTGGGGCTCTAGACCACCATTCATCATCCTAACAAATATGGTTTTAACAGTTCCAAGACCAGAGCTGATACAACTGATTTTACTTATCAATTAACCCCTCCTTTCTCTCTGAGACGCAACACAATTCACACAATATAAACTATCAGATAGCATAAAATGTCCAATAAACTGCAATATAGTACTGGAATTCAAGTTGACTGGAGATGCATGGGTCTGGACCCCATGAAATGTAGGAAGCGCAATAGCCTTAAGGACCTCCCTTCCCAACATTACCTGTCTCAGTGTAAATGTTGAAGTCTCCCAGAACAATCAGTCTAGGTTCAAGAGAACCTCTGCTGGCTCAAAGAGGATTCCTACTAGGGAACTCTTAGCAGTCAAAGCCCATCAAGTTTCTCCCAAATCATTGTGTAAAATGCATCAAGCCTCTCCCAACACATTTTCCATTTCCAACAATCAAGGTACTGTTTTGGGGACAAACATATTACCCTGCCCTCAGGCCACATTTTGCCCTATATCTGGCAAGCCCAGACACCAGTCTGTGTGTGTGTTCGTCTAGATTGGTAAATACCACCTCTCCCAAAATCACATTCTCCGTGCTCCTCCCTTCTTTTCCTCTTAGTCAGCTTGTGTGTTTTTAAGTGTGTGTGTGTGGGGGGGGGTTGTGTGTGTGTTGCCCTTTTATTCCTTTTTCAATAAAAACCTTTCCAGGTAAACATCTGCCTGGTTTATTTTGAGAGCTCTCTTAGAGAGAAATCCCTGTAAACATTGGTGGAGATCCAAATTAGCCACCTCTCACTCTGTCTCCTACAGCTTATTCCCCGAACTAATTAGGAGACCGCCTTTTGGGGTAACAGAACCAGGTGGCCTGTAAAAAAACAAAATGTCCAGGCTATTCCAGGAGTCCAACATAAGGAGCAGACAACCAGGCCTACAATAGAACAAAGTTTGAGTCCAGTGGCACCTTTAAGACCAACAAAGTTTTATTCTGGGTATAAGTGCTTGTTGGTCTAAGATACCACGGGACTCAAACTTTGTTCTTCTGCTTCAGACCAACACAGCTACCCACCTGAATCTATCTTCAATGCCTGCAATAGTTTGCACTGGAAGTCTGCAAAAAGGAAAAGATTCAGGATGTACAATAGCTACACCTTCCCTCCAGCCTCTAAGGCAGGGTTGATAAGGGATCACATAACCACACAAAGTTAACAGATACATGATCTGCCAGTGGCACATCTAAACCACTACTATTGGACAAACAGTAGTACAGCATGGCTTGAGGCAGAAGTCCTTTTTTTGCTCTTACCACCAGTTTGCATGCTTCCTGGCTAGCTACTCGAGAGCTGGAGGAACCCTCATCAATGATAACCCTGAGAAGGGGCTCCTGGCTGACAAAATGGGAGTATATCTGATCGTCTCCCTCCCCACCATGAAGCAGTCAGGGAGAGTATCCGCTATGCTAGAATCAATGCCTCACAGAAAGGCAACATTTGTCCCAGAGTACTTTGTACCACTGTACAGGCCCTCTGCAAAGGGATGGCTTGCTTCAGTGTACCTACCAGATTAAGAGTGGCATGACGGTCTTTTGGGTTGTGCTTTCAGCTTTGGCAACCACGCGCTCCAAGTTAAGGAGTGGTGACACCCATGCCAAAATAAGGCATTGTTAAAGTTTTGTGGTAGACAGACTGCACACAAAATGAAAGGACACCCCCAGGAAGCTTCTTGAGCAAGTTGTCATTTTGCACAAATGTGCCTGCCAACTTGGCACACAAGGCTTGTGTGATGCTTTTTGGCATGGGTAGCACCACTCCCTAAGCAACTGCACTCAAAGAGAAC